AGCAAGTGAAATGCCTTGCGCAGGGCTCCAAGTCTCTGCGTTGCTCGGACTACAACAGTTCCATATGCTGGCTGAATTTTAGCTGATGGTCAAACGTGACGCCGAGTACTTTGATGGAGGGCTGCTCCTCGACAGGAGTTCCATTGAAGACAATGGGGGGATTGGCCAGTCCCGACAATGGTGGGAAATTGTAAGGGCCTGAGATTTGGCTGGCTCGAACTGCACCTTCCAATCCGAGCCCCAACTGGATACTAGGTCAACAGCAGCCTGGAGTACTCTAGCGTTGTCAGGCACAGCAGCGAGAGTTGCAATTTCGGCGTATAGGGTTGTGTCGTCGGCGAATGAGGCAAGGTTGGAGCCGATTGGGAGGTGGTCTTCAAGGTCGTTGACGTAGACCAAGAATAAGGTAGGGCCCAGGATACTGTCCTGTGGCACCCCAGCCTTAACTGGGCGCCTGGCTGATGTCTGGCCGGAGATGAGGACTTGAAGTGTGCGGTTGCAGAGGTAGTCTTGGAGCCACCGATGCAGGTCTCCCGAGATGCCATACACTCTAGCCTTGTGCAATACACCAGTGTGAGACACCCGGTCAAATGCTCCAGCAATGTCGATGGCCAGCACTCGAGAAGCTCCTTTATCTCCTGCGGTGTGCAACCACTGGTGGTGGAGAGCAGTCAGCAGGTCTGCAGCACTGTGACCGCGACGGAAGCCAAATTTCCATTCTGACAGGACGTGATTCGTCTCCATGAAGTTGCTCATTGCCCTGTTGACTAAGGTCTCCATGAGCTTGGAGAGGATGCTCAGTAACGACACTGGTCGATAGTTTGATGGCGACGGTTTGGACTTGCGCTTGTGGACTGGAACTACGTTTGCAACCTTCCACTGTTGTGGCTGGATGCCGGAGCGAAGACAGCATGTAAAATATTTTGAAAGCGGCCGTGCCAATTCTGCAGAGCAAGCTTTCAAGACTCGGGCAGGTATCCCATCTGGACCAGTGGCCTTGGTGGGGTTGGGCTGGCGGAGAGTTCGCTCGACTGTGGTCTCGCGAAACCGGACGGTGCAGAGGTTGCGGTCAGTACGTGGTCGGACGTGAGGAAATGAAGCGGATAGGTCGTCTGCCCCTAGACTGCATTTTTTGGCGAAGTGTTCGGCCATGCACTCTGCTTTGCTGCGGTTGGTGTCGTGCTCCGTACCATCGGTGCTGCGGAGAGTAGGTATGGATGGGCTGTTTCCGTGGCCAGAGGCCTTCTTGATGGTTCGCCACAATTCACCAGACGCCATACACCCAGAGGCTAACTTCTGCACCAGGCTTGCTGCGAATGCCTGCTTGGCAGTTGCCAGGCAATGGTTAGCTGAGTGCTTGGCGACATTGTAACGGGCTTGCAGCTGGGCACTTGACCGGTCGGCGCAGAGTCTCCTCCATGCTCTTCGTTTCTGTGCCACAGCCTCAGTGCATTCCGGTGTCCACCAAGAGGGGTTAGATGGTTTCATACACAACTGCTTAGACGGTATGTATCGGCACATTCCTTCCAGAATAACGTTATTCTGGGTCAAGTGCATACACATTGCATCAGGATCATCACTGACAGTGGACTGCCAATCTGTTGTTCTAAAGAAGTGACGGATTCTGTCCCAGTCTGCGCATTGGTAACGCCAGACAGTTCTGGTCACTGGTGGTTGCTCTGCCGTGCTTACATGAAAGTCAGCTAGGACACAGGCATGGTCAGAGTTTCCCAGAGGTGCTAAGGTATTGTCTGTCGCAACTCTCGGGAGGTCAGTCATTATTAAGTCGAGTGGGTAGCCCCTGGTGGGCTCATGCACGTGCTGCTCCAAGCAGTGAAAAGCACACATGTCTTCAGTGTACACACCTGCATGAGTTGTCTTGGTGCTGCCGAGCCAATCCACGTTGTGTACGTTAAAATCTCCAGCCAATACCACCTATTGACAAAATTTACGGGCCAGGTCTATGCCAGCACTGATGGCTTCAAGGGTACTGATGTCATTGTCGTGGCAGGAGCCAGAGCAATATGCAGCACACACAGCCACTGACTTCCTATCCACAGTTCTGACACTGAGCCATATTAGCTCCTCATTACCGACCTGGATGTCGTCGAGTTCCCGGAGGGCCAGACTGGCTTTAACCCAAACCGGAACTCCTCCTCCATGAGCTGTTCGATCCTTCCGCAGTAGTAGCCAGGCAAGGACAGTTCGGAATCAGTAGCCTTCTCAGGGGTTAGCTTGCTCTCTGTGACAATGGCAATGTCAGGTTGGTGAACGTGTACAGCATGGTGAAAGTCACCAAGTTTACTCAGTAGTCCAAATGTGTTCGTCAGCAGAATCCGAAAGGATCTAATTGGAGCTTTGAGCTTGAGTGTCGGAGGACTCGGAGAGAGTGTCACTGTGTGAACCGGACAAGGTGTCCCCCTTCGGACGCTCACGGTGGCGCCAAACCCGCGCGTACAGTGGGCGAGGCCAAAAGTTTGGAGCAGTGGCGATTTCAAGATCAGTCGCATCGATCATCAAGCGGGCAGACACTTTCCCATCTTCTGTGGTGTGTATGCTGCACTGGTGGACCTTCACCGGTTTGTTCACTGCTGCAGAAAGTTGCTCAGTGAATTTCTTGACCGCACTTTCTTCACTGCTATGTGAGTTCAGATTGCCCACATAGATTACGGCTTTCTTCACTCTGTGAGGTTCGTTTGATACCAGTTTCCACGTGTCATCCGTGATTGGCTCTAGCTTCAGTGGCTTGGGCTTGACAGTGGGCCGCTCAATTGCTTGGGACTTGTCCTCATCCTCCGTTGACGTTTCATGGTCACTGGCAAGGTCACCCACGCTACGGGAAGTGCTACGGTGTTCGTCTGCATCAGTACAGTGGTACTGAGACGGTTGTATTGTCCAGGATAACTCTGCCTTCATCAACAATCAGAAGCCTTCTAAATACCAGTAAAGCAATACAGGTGCTAATGCATTATAGTGTAAAGTATGATGATGATTGTGTCAAGTGTCACGTGGGAGGTGTGTATAGCACACCGCTCACACATCATACAGACAAGTAAGCTGGTTCGCCCAGCAACTACAATTATTGCACTTATACTTATAGCGAAACAACGGTTTCTTTCTTCAACACTTCGCAGGCAGCGATCCTTCCAAGGTGCGGCCATTGAATATTTGAAGTAACAGCTACTACTTTTACTACGATGACAATAAAAATAATTATAATAAAAGTGTTTCTCTGAAAATAGAGCCAGCTCCCATGCATTACTATGCTACAAGGTACGCTTTCCAACGGCCAAAGAGAGTTGGAAAGCTTGTGTCTTTGTGGGTAACCTGAACATTTGGGCTCATGCAAAATCTTTTTGGGATTTCCCCACAACTTTTTGCGTCCGCAAAAATGTTGTGCTGGACCGCATTTCTGTCACTTCGCAGCGGCTTTTCGTTGGTGCAGTTTGTATCCCACCCTCCCACCCCTGACTTCTGGGTGTGTGTTTATCGATATATATCGTATTGGTTTTTCTTATTGGCCATGTGGCTGTTGCAGTTACGACTGCTTTTCTTTTTTATTTAAAAAACGTAGGGGTGGTGTGTGCGTCGTGGGCCATTGTATGGTTACATACAGCTTCAGATTGTATGGCTAGTGACAGGGGGGTTGAGTCTGCAGGGGAAGAATACAGTGATTGAACTGAAGCTGGATGATGACCGTGTGGTGAGTGTGTGGGGGGTTCGAGATGCCGTCCTGGGGCAGGGATGTCGATCCTTTAGCTTGGACGGGTGTTGTTACATTCATTGTAACATTTTGTCGTTTTCTGTGTGTTTTGCTGTGCGACTATAGTAGCAGCAGTGTCTTGTGCTAATTTTTCTTATGATATCAGGCCCTATGCGTACAATTATTCAAAAAAGAAAAAAGAAAAAAAAAGAAAAAATATCAGGAAGGAGATATAATAATATCAATAATAAAGCCATTGCCGAGCCACCGTGCTCACAGCAGAGACTTCTGTGTGTGGTATTGTTGTGAAGTGGACCACAAAGACCAACTTTTTCTGTAGTAGTAGTAGTAGTAGTAGTAGTAGTATACTTTCAGTAGCTCGATCCTGGACTTGTACAATTTTCTCACCCTCTTTTAATACTCAGATCTGACAAGAATTGCCGCACATCATCAGGTAATATTAAAATAAGAACAATGAAGGTGCAAGTGTGTCGGTACGGTTTACGATTCCCTCGTTTAGATCGCTGCAGGTGAGGATAAACCATGACATAGATCTATGTACAGTATGTAGCTACAATCGTTTATGTATATTCCTACTTGAAGAAATGTTGTGATGTGTTCCTGAAGGAGCAAAGCAAGGGTATCGTTATTATCAAAGGAGGCAAAGAAAATGTTAAATCAATTCCGAAAGGGGGCATACTAGGGGCGTGCTCGGCCCCCCAACTAGGGGGGTGCACGGGAGCCGAGGGGAGCCCCCCCCCGGCAATTTTCTGCAATTTGTTTGCAACCTTTCTTGAATTTTACAGCATATTTGCATACATTACAATTGCAATTACCCAGATTGAAAATTTTGGGGGGGGGTACACGTGCCCCGCGTGCCCATCGCCGAGCACGCGCCTGCAGTACATTGGCGAATTGTTTTGATCTGGAGACCGGTGAACCAGCACAGCATGCAGTGGTGCAGACTTTCTGTGCTATACACACAGTTCCAGTGCTGCTTTAAAGGAAATGGCAAACGTAGAAAGCACACATGGAAAGACCCCTCTTTGGTCTTTCCATAACATTGAACCTTCCAAGTTAGAAGGCTGTCGGTTAGCGCTACGGAGATGTGTTGAAGCTACTGAGGTGTCAGGACGTCGAATGTCTCAGTACTCTGTCAGTTTTGTGCCTACTTGTTGCACTTTCTGACTGTATAATACTATCTAGTTACAGTGGTGGAGTTACTCTTAACTCGGTTCCATATGTCCTTTTCCTTTCTACTTTTATTATTGGCTCAATACGCGAGTATTAATGAAAACTACAAATTGTAGTCAGTGGACCGTGATTATTTTATATATTTTTTATTTATCGTCTCCACTTCATGGCACATAATAATACATAGCCAATACAAGAAAGGGAGGGTGAATAGCATTAACAAAAGAAGAACATGGAAGGGAGGTGACACCATGTGTCAACAGCAGGTAGCACACTGAGACAGTACTATTTTAGCTGAAATGCATATACATGGTAGTGAAGTACTGCCCTGGCTAGAGATTTACGACCTCATGAATAAAATAGCGCTGGGGTGGGGGGGGGGGTCGAAAAGGCCTTAGCACCCACACACACTAGTCTATTCTGTGCACAAAAATGGCGTGGTGCTGCTTTATTCACGAGGTCACATTTCATGACCGCCGCGACATCTGCTACAGATGCCGGTGGTTCAAATCTGGCTCAGTGGTTCAAAATCAAAGAGCCCTGCAGCTGCAGAGTGTATGCGTACGGTACCAGGCTGGCTTCGTCCAGTGCCAGGGTTGCCGGGGGCATCGTCACGGTGATCCCGGCCGTGCCCTCGCGACACGCCGACTCGAGCTTCATCGGCCCTTTGGCGGTGAGCAGCGCGGCGGTGGTGGTGCCGGCAGAGCATGGAGGACTGGGCAGTGTGATATTGCTGGACGTCGGCCATGTCATTAGAGTGGCATACAGTGTCACAGCGTTTGCATCCGCATCACCCTGAATGCCCGGTGCATCAGCTATTGTCGTTACCTTGGTTGTGTAGTAGACCAGGACGTTCGGGGGTCCCGTCGTGGTGCCATTCTCGGCCTGCTTGACCTTCCATGGCTGTGTGCCGTAGATAGCGTCCCCGTTGATTTTCAGCCAGGAACCGATCTAGTATCATACATGTACATACGAATGCACGCATATACATTCATACACAAATAGAAGTGTACACTCATACACAAACACAAGCACACACGCACGCACCCCGCACGCACGCACACATGCACACAACAAAATACTCTATCTCTCTCTCTCTCTCTCTCTCTCTCTCTCTCTCTCTCTCTCTCTCTCTCTATCTCTCTCTCTATCTATCTCTATCTCTCTCTCTCTCTCTCTCTCTCTATCTCTCTCTCTATCTATCTCTATCTCTATCTCTATCTCTCTCTCTCTCTCTCTCTCTCTCTCTCTCTCTCTCTCTCTCTCTCTCTCTCTCCATCTGTCCCTATCGATCTACCGTAACATCTTGAATAGAAGCCGCCCTCGAATAGAAGCCGCAATTTTGGGCTCATCAAATCACACATAAGCCTGGTTTTAGTGTTGACATACATAGAAATACCTGTCTTGTATAGAAGCCTGCAAAATTTCACCAAAAAAGTCATGATCATAGAAGCCGCGGCTTTTATACAAGGCTTTACGGTATCTATCTACAAAGGAGTAATTTTGGCAATTGCCGGGAAAGTGCTCAATGCACAAAGTGCAGAGCGTTTCACGTCGTCTGATGATTGCAGTGGCATGAAACTTTGAGTAACGACAAATCCAAACTGGACCTATATGTATTTCTCTTTTCCGAATCTATCTATCTATCTATCTATCTATCGAATTTGTGTGTGTGTGTGTGTGTGTGTGTGTGTGTGTGTGTGTGTGTGTGTGTGTGTGAGAGTGTGTGTGTGTGTGTGTGTGTGTGTGTGTGTGTGTGCGTGCGTGTGTGCGCGTGTGCGTCACACTTACCTGCAGGAGACGCTCGGCCATGAGGGGTATGATGCGTCCGTCATGAGTGGGACCAACATTCAAAATCAGGTTACCTGTTCACGAGAACAAGAAAAGCAACAAGAGTATTTTCATCTCAGCTTGGGGGGGGGGGGGGCTCACGATGCCCGTAACTGGGTAGAGCACAACAATAAAGCTTGAATTCATACGCCTCCCTGTGCTATACATACGCCTCTCTGTGCTGTACAGAACCACACACACACACACACAAACACACACGCACGTATGCACGTGCGCGCGTGCGTTCACACACACACAAACACACACACACACACACTACTACTACTACTACTACTACTACTACTACTACTACTGTAGCTTGGTTGCCACAAGGGCTGCACCACTCCGAAAGGAGCCAGAGTCATTGTCAGGAGCAGAAACGGAGATGACGACTCAGGTCACTCTGTCGATGGAACTGACGGTTGCAGCGAGAACAGCAAACACCATATAACGCTGTCAGACTTGGTTGCTCGATGGCCACGGTCACACACACACACACACACACACACACACACACACACACACACACACACACACACACACATACCTCCGAATGCCACGTTGTTGACGAGGATTGCCACCATTTCCTTGGCAGTCTTGTAACTCTGCACGGTCTCGATGCGATCAAACCCCCAGGAAGTGCCCATTGTCATCTCGTCGGTCCACTTGTGTGGCTGCAGAGTGCTGGGCTGAAAGCGATCTTGACACGTCCAGTAGCCTGCAGAACAAAATGATAACATGGAAAACAAGAAGACAGGTACATACTTCCAAGGAACAGTCGAGGAAGTGAACTGTCTGAAAAGAGAAAAAAATTCCAGACCCATCAGGACTCATCGAACCCGGCACCTTGCTTGTCATGAGCAGAGCTCCTTGCAAGAAGAAGAAGAAGAGGATGAAGATTTGGGTTGTGCCCAACGCTAATCTCCATCCTCTTCGTGTTGTGAGGTTACGAGATGAAAAAAACGTCAGTTGTCAACTTGTACTTGTGATGGTTTGGAAAATTGCGGCGTTGTGTTGCACAGCACGACTCACACCGCTCCACTGACCCACGCCGCATGCAATCATTGCACACATACAGTGCTGCTCACTGAAATCCGGTCGCATCGTCACTCAAGTGTGCGCGGCCTTGCACCATTCCATAGCCCAGCGTTCGCAGGTCTAGGGCCGTGCAACGCCCGGCGCGAACTTGAGTGACGCGACTGGATTTCATTGAGAAGCACTGTCTGTGGTTCCGCTGCGGAGTCGCAACCGTGACATCACTAACTTAACCTCTATGCATGATAATTATTATGGTATTACACCTGGGCAAACTACAGTCCCACAAAACTGACAGCCTGCTGAAACCAGTGTTTTGACCGCCTCCATTGGTCAGATCAAGCAGAAAGAGAAGATACAGCGATTCTAGCTCAACAGCTTAAGCTCAATGAGGGCCCTTTCCTTAAATGTCACTCCGACAGCACAAACTCCGACGAGCTGGCCGCCAGTTCCTATATTGCTCATGAGAGCTATTGGTCGTTGCCATGGGAACTTACCTCCATGATGGCAGCGTGCATCAGTCCCCCATCGATCGTCCACGATCACCTCGTCCTTGACAGGTGACTCATTGTAGAGCCATGCCAGGAATTCCCTGCGGCGTGTGTGCCAGGATGTGTGTGCGTGTGTGTGTGTGTGCGGGTGCGCGCGCGTGTGTGTGTGTGTGTGTGTGTGTGTGTGTGTGTGTGTGTGTGTGTGTGTGTGTGTGTGTGTGTGTGTGTGCGTGTGCACATTTGCGTGGAGTAGAAGAGGTGTGTGGAAGAGTGCAGATGATGGACAGACATTGCCATTCCCGTGAAAACGAAAAGACGAATATACAGGGACAGACACAAGCAGATAGACGAAGCGTTTTTTTGCTAAAGTTCAATATTCACAACACGTTTTGCAATTTCCGGTGGTGTGACCGATGTTTTTTCTTTCTTTTATATCTGGCTTGCAAGTGCTGATTTTCACGGAGAAAAAGACAGTAGGCAGATGGCCTTATTTCCTAAACTAACTTTGATTTTCTCCGTGGAGTCTTACACTTAAAATTGCAATTTGTGTTAGTTCATGGTTGTCTTGGCTTGATGCGCTCCCCCATAATGCGAAGCGAATGGGCGAGTGCCCTGTTTAGTGGTGTGACTTGTGAGTATGCGAGCCAGATATTGATTGGCCGAAGTAGGATACATTCGCTATCACCGTGGATAATAGTTATACTGATCGTGAATAGCAAGGTCCCTGGTTCGAGTTCCTATGGTGGGACTGAGGATGTTCTACTTCGTAACTGGCTTGCACAGATTGAGTTTTGGAGAGAAAAAGAGCAGTGCTATGGTGGCCAAATTTTCTAATGCCTGGTGATCCATGTACAATTAAATTTCAGCGATAAAGTATAGAAGAAAGTGGTGGACATCAAGCAAATGCATTTCCCCCGCCAAGAGTGAATAGCAACTAAAAACAGAGCGGTTGTCAGTTGACAATCCCCCTTTTATTTAAAGTATGGAAGAGTTGTAAAAGCCAGCACATACCAGATACCATGGTAACCAAACTGCACTGAAAGGTGAGACATGAAGTTGGCCATCACTGATGCTTCAATTTCTAGTACTTTCTCAGAAACATGCTGATGGATCAGAGATGTGAGGGATAGAGAGAAGGCACGGGACCCTGGGGCCACCAACACATGGTTCATTAGGCCTAAGTCAGAGAGGCGTGCTCTCCGGTCCTACCTGGATCTGAGCTGAGTGCTGTTGAGGAGTACGCAGTAGTCACCATTGATGATGTCTGGCTTGTACTTCATGGTGATGTCCTTGAGCTCTGTGAGGAACACCTGCTCAACATACTCCTCTTGTCCAGTGTACGGCTCGGGACCGTGTCTGTAGTCCCAGGGCAGCAAAGGGTTTCCCCACTCGATATTGCAGTCTACACACACAGACACACACACACACACGCACGCACGCACACACACACACAAACACACACACACACACACACACGCACAATACAGAAGCACACAATGGCATGTAGATGGGTCCAATTGAACATTCGAGGGTATGTCGACAGAATTTTGAATGTTCTGGGCCCAGTAGCAAGCATGTGGTTGTTCCCATTGATGAGCACATACCTGGGTGCAAATCACCAAGTACAGTAGCTACGGTGGCGGTGGTGGTGGTGAAGTGGACACAGAATTTTCAAGGGCCGAGTGCTGCTGCTTACTTTCTTGTTAGGTACAGTTGTGGTAATTTCATTACCGTATTTTCCGGAGTACAAGCCGCACTTTTAAAAACACTCGTGATTTGCCTCTGCATTTTGTGGAAAAAGGATCTGTGTGAGGCTGCGGCCAATACTCCAGACAATATGGTAGGTGTGACTCGTACTTTGACGTCCATTTATTTTTATTTATTTATTTATTTATTTATTTTTTACTAAAAAACACAGCCCTACTAATAATCAGGGGAAGAGGACAACTGAAATGACACTGGACAACAAGACAAAGGGGAGTAGGGGCGATGTGCCGATGTGGTTGGCGAGGCTCATCCGACCGGAGGTCTCGGAATCATAGCCTACGACCAGGCATCGATAGGAATATTGAAGTATGCCCAATGCTGTAGACAGCAAGCTGTTTCGGTCATAAAGGCCTCATCAGTATTGAAGTACCGTGCGTGTCGGTTATAGCGTGGTCCTGTAAAAGAATATACTGCCTACAAGAATGAACTGTCATGTTTTCATAATCATAACAATCATGGATTTCAAGTGCACATTTATTCTTACAAGCAATTTTATCGTACAATAGAATATATCGGTCCTAAGAATGGACTTTGTGTAGCAAAACATACCAGATTAGTACAAAGTATATTGCCTATAGTAATACTATCCGTCCAATGCTGTTCCGATCTGACCGTCCGCGTTGGGTCGTAGTGCTGCAGGTTCAACTGTTGTGGTCATGTTACTCATATAGCATAGCCACATGGTAAGCCTATGTGACTATGACCAGCCGCATGCACCGTAACACTACATTGCATGCAGTGTCTGCTCTGGGATTGTAGGACAGCCGGGTTCACGTGTACCTGGTGCAACCATTTCAACCGGGTCGGAGCCGGGTACACATGTACCTGGCGCTGTCTCACCAGCCGAGTCACATGCTTTAGCTGGTTGGTTGGTTTATTTTTATTCGGACAATAAACGGGAACTAGGCCCAATGATATAAAGGCGAATGGATAAGCCGAATTTAGAAAAGAGAGGACAGGAATTAGAAAATTACGAAAGAAGAAGAAGTATCTGACACATACAAGCCATGTAGTCAGTCCTTTCAAAGTTCGAAACTGTAAAGTACCAACCGGGTCACAGGTGACCCGGTACTATATTTTCAACTGGGTCCAAGCGCCGCCCAACCGGGTGGATTACCCGGCTCACCCGGCGCTGGAGCAGACACTGGCATGTACGATGATCTTCCTGCCTCTGCACACATGCACATGATATGTCACACTTGATTTATCGCGTGTAAGAAATATCGGAAAAAAGAATAGAAAGTCGTTTTTCAAACACCCACGCTCGAACCGATACATACTGTATGTGTATTTATACATGAACGCCGGGTACGGTGAAATCGGCATCTTGCCGATGCACTTTAACAAGAACATGCAAATTATTATGTACAGAAGAGCCACGGGATTCTTTAATACAGTCCGTTCATCCAAAACTGGAACCCTGACAGCCTGGTATCGCGAACGAATAGTGGAAGATTTACATGTTGCGAAAATGTCTATACACAAACTCACAATACAATCCCATTCTGAGTCCCTGGGCACGCGTGGCATTCGTCAGCTCTCCCACAATGTCGCGGTGCGGGCCGTTCTCCACGCTGTTGTAGTTCCATTTGGCAGGTGATTTCCAATTGGCCCAGCCATCGCAATGCTTGGACGTGAGAAGAACAAACTTGGCGCCCGCATCGCTGAACAGCTGCGCCCACTGAGCTGGATCCCAGAGCTCAGCCTGTATCCATGTGCATGCACGGAACAATAAGAATGGAAAAAATACACCACCTGTTAGTGTCATGGGCACCAGTAGGCGGATATCTAAGGCAATGCAGCCACAACAAAGTCCTTGTACTTCTGAAGTAGTTTCGTTTCCGAATATAACTACTTCTCGATTTGGCGGGTCTGATCAAGTCTCACTCAATGTGCAAAGACGCGGCTGCGGCTGGGCCATAACCTTCAGGATCACAGTGCTATTCCTATTAGAGATGTGGAAAGTTTAGTGTTACTAATTCTTACACGAACGCAGTAGGGGCGAGGCATCCTGCAGCTTCATAACTCAAAGAGAATTGGAAAGCACACATGCTCATTCCCTGGGCGCTGCAAAATTCACAACTCATTTCATTTCACAGAATTATTTTCAACGTAAATGAATGAGCATGTGTGCTCACCAATTCTCTTTAACTACGAGCCGTGAAATGATTTTTTTCTAATTCTCGAAGGATGGGTTTTTTTAGTTGACCAGACTCTCTTCATCAGTATGGTGTGCAAGAATGATTCAGACGTGTCAATAGGCTCAATACACGAGCATACGGTAAGGATGCACTTGTGAGCAAACGCTGACTCTCTCAGTCTTGTTTTGCTGTTGAAGAATGCAAACACACTTGCTACAATCACACGTATTTTGAAACGAAATTGGGAATCAAAATTGGTTGCGTAACACATGTGTTCTCAATTGCAGCTAGTACGAGGTGAATAGCAATTTCTGGACATGAAAATAACAAAGAGCCCCACTGGCTGTGTGTTTTACATTTTTCATATCGTTTTGTATCTATTGTATGGCCTAATCTTTCATCTTTCCAAATATGTGACAATTGCTCATGCTGTGATCCCAGAGACTTGATAGCAGGACGTTTTCGACAGGCCAATTTTTTGGCCTTAATTTCAGTGTATGGAATTCTGGACATGAAAGTAAAATAGCGTCAATAGGCATCCTATACTGCACCATTTTTGGTTATTTTTCTATTGGTGGACTGCAGTTGGCCTCTTCACACTTCCAGGCAACAGGTCCAAGACTATACAGCGTCTGAAGTGGAGTGCACATGGGGAAGCCAACCATTTGTCCATTACTTCTTATTTTACTCAAAATTCAAAATTCTCATGCGACATAGTACCACAAAACTCGTTGAAATGCCTCCCAAGAAAAGGCTATCGACAAGGCATCGACACGAGGAGAAACTACAACAGCCCAGCTGTCAACTACGGCAAGAAAAAACTTCATCAACCTGACTGACTTGACTCTACACGCGACGAAAAATTATTTTACTCGAAATGTCCAGAAATGTACAATGTCCAGAAATCGCAATTCACCTCGTACAATGTGAATGCAAAACAGGGTACAGTACCTTGAACATTGGACCAAAGTCAGAGTACTTGAAATCTGGACCATAGTTGGCGGCGTGGAAGTTCCTGGTTGCGTTGCCATCATCACCTAAGTATTGCACGCATACACACACATTATACTGGCTGAGACATCACGGCACAGCTTCGGCTACTTCTACAGCTTACATGTGTGTCAGCCAGAGTGCCTTTCCCGTGCACATATAGATTTAAGCAGCCTCGAAGACCAAGCACAGCACAGCACAGCACAGCACAGCACAGCACAGCACAGCACAGCACAGCACAGCACAGCACAGCACAGCACAGCACAGCACAGCACAGCACAGCACAGCACAGCACAGCATAGCACAGCACAGCACAAGTATTTAGATGTGCTAGAATAATTACAGTACATTATAATAATGATTATACACATTATGCCGGTTGTTCAGAACACCTGCTCCATAACAAAAAAAAGGGGGAAACCCTTGCACGAGGAGTTGCTGCACGGGTACCAGCACCCGGTAAGGCTGGTTCGGCCGTAGCTGGACCACATTCAATTTCATCCCGTACAGTCAGCCACTGAAACAAGACAAAATTATTTCCACCGTGTTTCTGTGCACCCCCAACGGAGTTGGGCGTATGGACGCAAGCCTAATCCATTCCTACCTCGGCGGAGTCTGATCCTTCTAAGGTCAAAATAGGTAGTCTGAAAGCATGTCAAATCAGACAGTAAGAAAACAAAAACGACCTACCCACTGATGTACTTTGAAGTAGGAAATACCCCGCAACTCACGGATCTTGTGAGGTTGATCATGCCATGCCGCAAGCAGTGTACAGCCATATATGCCATGGTGGAGAACTAGTGGCAAACTAGTGGATTCATTCGCATATAGGCACTATTTATACAGTGCGAGTTGGCAGTTTTGCTCGATCTAGTGCATTGCGGTGTCACGGCTTTGCGAAAGCATCTCGACTGATTATGCAATCACATCACCTCACGCCGGGTAGACCATCTGTCATTGAAGATCGACATAATTATAATGCACCGCACAGTGGTCGCCGAACACAAGTTACACTCAAACTCGTACAGGGGTATCGGAAGGTATTTCAGTGTGGTTCGGTCAGCCATCTGAAGTACAATTTACTCACGGGGGAGTGGTGACTGAGCCGAAAATTTTGGAAATTTAGATCCCAGATCACTGCATATTATTGATTCACGGGGTACCTGGGGCAACAAGGGGTGCGGTCAATACCGTAGTGACCGTACCGTATCCGACGCCCCTGTAGTAGATATAATTTTGTGCATTGCACAATGAACTCACCAGTGAGAAGGTACTGGACATACCACTCGGCCGCTTCGTGACTCCAGCTTGGTACACTGAAGATACCCCAGTGGATGAAGATACCAAACTTGGCCTGGTCGTACCAAGCAGGCAGTGGCCTGCTGTCTGCAGGGTTCGACACGACAAACAGCAAACCCACAGCAGCCATTACAATTTACAAATGAAAATTCTACAGAAATTTTGCGAATGATATCATAGCATGATATGCTGTGCATTGAGTGGAAGACCAGTGCTGGCGATGTCACAGTCATGCCACTCCATGCAAAGCAGCTCAAACGATGACATAATGATGACACAATGATGACGTAATCCCATATAGTAAAGCTTGTCAATGCAACCACCTGTTGCAGAAGACCACTGCAGCCCGGACCAAGGGATGCAGTTTCCAATTGACCCTGGATAGGGAGCTCACTTGGTAACAGAGAGCACTATTAGAAGGTGCCTTGAGCTTTCGTCTAATAGATAACTTTCACAGTAGTTTCACAGTACCTACTGCACGGTACAGTAGTTTAACTTACTGTAATTTCACAAATTTTCGGTGGACTTCTAGTTTCGGTACTTTCGGTGCATCTGTTTCATACCGAAAATCTCAATACACCAAACAAACACTAACACACATAATCCAATAGGGAACTGCTTCTCTGTACCTAAAAGTCCTGTTCACCTAACCTGGCCTTTTGCCCTCATACCGAAAATATTGAGCACCGCAAATTTCTGAAACTAGAGTATATACCGTAAAAGTCTGTAAATAAGTACGTATTTACTTTCGAATTTAGTGACCACACCCGTACTAACTTTCGGCCCGGTACTGACTTTCGGGCACGAACTAACTTTCGGACCTGACTTGTGTGTAGTGGAGAAGTCATTTTCATGTCGATGTACATGCTACATGCTGCATGTGCGCACCGTACCGGTACTTATTTCGGGCAGTATGTTTATCGGGCTTGACTTGACTTCAACAGACAGAGCCAAAAGAATGAAGGGGGTATTTCTTTCGGGCAGGTACTTATTTACGGACTTTTACGATACTCCACTGGAGCCCAGGCAGCCTGCTCAAAGAATTCCATCCTATGTAATGATGTTATGCAAATCAAATGGCATAGTGGCGAACAAGGGGATACACTCATCATGGACACGAAGTACAAGGTACAAAAAGAGGGAACTTAACAGCGGCAAACCAGTGCTGGCGCATTCGCTGAGCTGCGGATGTGCCGCTCCGTACAAAGCATCTCAAGCAATGAATGAATGATGCACACTTACAATTATTATCTCTTATTCGGGCAATATCCGTAACTCCGAATCATGTTTGTTTTGATGGAGCAGTGCCAAAGATCTAGCACACGACTCACTGTTTCCACAAAATTTGCAAAAAAGAGTACATGTATGATGTAGCAATATTTCCACCAAACTCGTCGATTTGGTGACCGAGAGACCGAGGTGCCTGTGACTTCGACGTTCGGATAAGAGAAATTATGAGTGCATTTGCAAAACCTCAGTAGGTCAGCGCTCTACTCCAATGCCCTGGATCCATGTGGTGCTCGCAGGGCTGGTGATGCATGGCATCTGGCGGTGGGCGACTCACGATGTGATCGGATTTCATTAAATTTTAGCAGCACTATAATAGTCTGCACGTGACATAATTATCAGAAAGGAATTCTCAATGAATGAAAGTCTAGTGTGCCAGAGAAGTACAGAGATGTTTTAGCGACTTTCCCATTGATTTGACAGGCGACTTACCTAAGCTCTCCCACGTGGGCTCATACACTGTCTTCTGTGCAGGTGATTTCGGCTCCTGCTGGACACCTATATCAGCCGCTAGCACGTTCCGCGAGCAGCTCGCAAACATCAACAGCAACGACACAAGGCTTGCCCTCGCCATCGCTGGAAAGGCACTGCACGCCATCATTTCCCCCCAGGGATTCTTCAGGTTTGAATAGAGCTAATCTTGGCTAGAACGGTGTACAACACGTATGGCCTATATCCTTACATCCGAGCGCAGTGAGGAGCAGCAGGCACAGCGGACCACGAAGTGGCGTTTCAAGAAGGACAAGAAAATGAATTTTCTCCACCCGGGGCCACCAGACTGAGCTGAGGTTTCGCTGTTGCATATGTCGCAAAACTCTATGCATATCGTCGGTAGCTGTCGAAAGGTTTGATCGGGCACACTGGCCCTAGCCTGGGCTTTGTTGCATTTAGTGGGAACGACATTACGACCTACACCGGCGATAGGCTAGTAATATTATCAGCAGCTCACAGATCACGAGACGTTCAAAGTAAAGTAATTAGTTAGTTAGTTACCGTAGTTTGGATGGCATCATCACGTGCACGTCCATGACTCCATCGATTGCTTTGAGCAAGACAGTGGTAAACCATGGTAAACAAGTAAGTTTTGGCAGTGTTCATAGGCACAGCTCGGACAAGATATTTCTTCGGCTTGGATCTCGATCACCGTGCATGTCGCTCAGCAAGAACAAAATTTTAGCAGAAGAAGTAGATCTACTCGTAGGTCTACGAGTCGTAGGAGAAGATTTGATCAGTTGCGTAGATCATCAGGTCATCTCGCGGACAGAACAACAAGCCGACAAGGAGTGGGCAGAGTAACAGCAAGAGTAGATAAACTACTCTTGCCTGAGTCTTGGTAACAGTCATACTACTACTACTATTACTAGTGAGTTTAGCTGGTACCGGTAGGCAGTTGAAGGCTCCGGACGCTCGCACACCGGTGCACGGGGATGGCGAAGTGCACACGAAGTACTATGACACTGCTTACCGCTCTGCTTCTGAAGGTCATGTCAGTTCTGATCCTATTGACGATTCTTGGGAGCTTTGCTGCTGCTACGCCGCTGGAAAAGGAGCCAAGCCAATCCAAGGTCTACGAGCCGACCTGGGATAGCCTGGGTAAGCCTAACGCACCATGCACTCTTCATTATAACTTTGACCAGTTCACTTCTCCAATGCGACAATGGTCTTGTCCTACCCTGTTATTGAATGGGGATCTTTTCAAGCACAGTTGCTGTGCGTATATCTCTGGTCACACAATCGAAGGGGCAAACCAGCCTTCTCTGACAAGGAGACGTCGGATAGAGAAAAGAGATCGAAGAGGAGAGAGAATTGGGAGTAGTAAATGAGGAATGAAATGCCCCCCCCCCCCCCTCCCCCTAAAAGTTTCGACCAAGGTTCAGCATGCAGATAATGACCATGAATGACACGCACCAGCCATCCTACACATACATGTACATGTATGCAGCCGTGCACCGGTTACCCCCCCCCCCCCCCCCAAAAAAAGAGGGACCAGCTACGCCCCTGGATTGTGACTGCAAACCCAGGCGTATCACGACGCAGAGTACAGTACCTGGGTGCACTGCAATGGGAGTCGGACTGTGCTACGTACTGGGAAAAAGAAGCAATGCACCTTGGCCACTGGTGGGTGCCGCAGCCATTTAGGCCATTTTGGACTAGACTAGAGAAATAGAAAATTCTGACTGAGTTGTGCCCTGCACCAGTTCACATCCTAGCGCTTGCAGGTCTACAATATAGGGCCGACCAGCGCCCAACATGGCATTGGCTGGCTCGATCGGATTTCATTGAGCACCACTGTAGTATCTATGGTAACCAGGAGAGAAGAAGCTCTGTTGCAGCTCTGAGTTTCACATGTACCGTATTTTCCAGAGTACAAGCCACACAGGCTTTTTTGGGTGAATTCGTACTGGTATCTAAAGTGTGGCTTATACTCTCCAAAATACGGTACTCATGATTGTCAGGCACCGCCAATACTGCACGAAAACCTCTGCCCCAGCAGAGCATGGAACGGTCTGACTCTCGGATCAGTGGAACATGTCTCACCCCCGGAATGAAGTCAATACGGTATCAGTACCGCCACGCCATAATTACTTCGAAGTATAAAGAATGAGAAATTAAATTATAATCAGGTGTCTAAGATTCACAGGCTGCGTGTACTGAGTACTCTATGTTCAGTGCCCCGCGACAGTAATCCAATTCACAAGCAGCAACAGTGCGAGCAGTCCTTGCCGGTACTGGGTGTTTCGTGTCTGAAAACACGAAACTCCGAGCAACGGCAAGGAATAACCTGCTTGCGCTGTTGCTGTTTGGGAATTGTAAAAAAAATCCAACAGTGGAACACCCTAGTTCTTGGTTAACTTCTATAACGCAAGCAATACCGAGACCTCTTGTCTGTGGAGTTCATAATGCCACATCTGCATTTGTCTTCACTCACGGCCATGTTTGTGTTCTTCTGTATCAAAAGATAAAAAATAAAAACATGGCGGGTAGCTGCGCATAGTAATAGTCTCATCGCACTGTATTCTCACAACTTTTCGGCGCACTGCTATTTTCGGTGCGTTCGGCTCTTTCACGCCTAACACTAAAATGCCAATAACCGCGCACAATATCCAATCCGGGACTGCTTCTATGTGCATTTACCTAGACTTCCTGGACACCTGGCCTGGTCATTTGTTCTCATACTTCTATTTATTTTGAGCTTATGAAATTTCTGAAAATAGAGTATAATTATCATCAGATCTGTGGCATGAGTCCAATCAAGGAGTTGAACCAAACATGTATGCATGTAGGCCACCCCTGAGTCACCTGACTTAGGGCGCAGCGCTGCTCTATGATGGTGTTGTGATCAGAACATTGCTATGAAAGACTGAGAGCCTACTCGGGTCTGTCGTCACTGTTACAAGGAACTGCGCTCAAGTAGTTTACTGACCAACTCCTCATCAGGGTGGTGAGAATCACCAGTTTGTGCTGTGGACTCTTCCAAGTCACCTGCTACACCGTCCGACTCATTGCGGCGAGCGGATACAGCAGCTTCAACATCAACAGGACCAGACGCCGTAGCCGCATTGTCCGCTGGGAATTCTATGTCCACTGGCGATCTGCTATCCACTGGGGATCTGCTGTCCACCGGGGATTTGCTGTCCACTGGGGATTTGCTGTCCATCGGGGATTTGCTGTCCACTGGGGATTTGCTGTCCACCGGGGATTTGATGCACACTGGAGATTTTCTGTCCACCGGGGATTTGCTGTCCACCGGGGATTTGCTGTCCACCGGGGATTTGCTGTCCACTGGGGATTTGCTGTCCACCGGGGATTTGCTGTCCACCGGGGATTTGCTGTCCACCGGGGATTTGCTGTCCACTGGGGATTTGCTGTCCACTGGGGATTTGCTGTCCACTGGGGATTCGCTGTCCAAGGGGGATTTGCTGTACACTGGGGATTTGCTGCCCACCGGGGATTCGCTGTCCACTGGGGATTTGCTGTACACTGGGGATTTGCTGCCCACCGGGGATTTGCTGCCCACCGGGGATTTGCTGTCCACTGGGGATTTGCTGTCCACTGGGGATTTGCTGTCCACTGGGGATTTGCTGTCCACTGGGGATTTGCTGTCCACTGGGGATTTGCTGTCCACTGGGGATTTGCTGTACACTGGAGGTTCTCTGTCCACTGGGGGTTTCCTGAACACTGGGGGTTCGCTGTACACTGGGGGTTCGCTGTCCGACTTGAAGTGCAAATCAATCTGCCTAATAACCGCTTCCATGCACATGCGTTCGGCAGCATTGGGTCGTAGCAGGCCATGTAGCAGCCTGAGGGCACACTCAGGAACGTTTGAAATAGACCGTCCTGGAAATTTCAGGGGATACCCGTCCGTCAACTTGTGTGCACCTGGCATACAGAAGCGGTTCGACCTTACAAACTCTACATAAACGGGATCACTGTATTTAGCTTCGATCCACACTGGCACTTTCGACCTGGTCATCAACTCCAAAACGCACAATCCAAATCTCCAGGAATCCGCCGACGGGCAAACTGCACAGAAATCCTCGCCGATCCATTTCCGCGGGCGAGCGAACAGCTCGGGAGGTCTGTAGCGAATCGTATCCCCTAACAGACGCCGATTACGCCGGTCCACCAGCTGGCCTGCAAACACGGCACTGCCAAAGTCAATCAGCTTGGCAAAGCGTTCGCAGTCTTCGCGAATGTATATGCAGATGTTTGTCGGCTTGACGTCAAAGTGCACTATTCCCAGACGACTGTTGAGGAAGTGGAGGCCGCGCGCCGCGTCACGCAGAAAACCCAGCCGCTCATCCTCGTCTGCCACGCTGCAGACTAGCTCTCGGAGCGTTCCCGACGGGAAGTACTCCAGCTCGAAACCCACGCACGTCCGGAACTTGTACCAGTACGGCTCGCACACCGCAAACAGCCGGTGCGGCTTGTTCTTTCTCAGCTCCGCCTCGCGCCTCTGCACGTACATGTGCATAAGCAATTCTCTGTAGAGAGCTGAGCTGTGTTTTTTCTCTTCACGAGAGTGCACCTGGTGTAGCTTCATCACAGTTAGAACGGAATCAGGGTCGTTGAGTGAATCCTTGCCTCGCACCGTCATGACTGTTCTGCTTGGCGCGCTGTAGAGAACTCTGCGTTCATCCTTCACGTCCCGGATACGCGGGGCCGTGATAATCTGGGGCTTGCTGGACTGGTACGCAGCTCTCGCTCGCTTGAAGTCAGTGGCGTTGGGGAAGTGGTGACGAACGTCGTTGAAGTACCCGTCCATGAAGCGATCCTCCGCTGTCGGCTCAGCGCGCCGAGCGCCGCCGCCGGTCGCCATGGCCTCTGCTGCTTCCGTCCGTCACTGTCGGAGCAGCCGCCGACTTCGCTCCTTCCGCGCTACTGCGTTCTGCCCCCTGTCTAGTCTTTCGAGTCTCGTGTTCAAAACAATGGCAGGGCTTGGGTCTCTTTTCGGTACGCCGATACGACCTGACCTGACACTACAATTGTAGTAGTAAAGTCGGAGACAGATTCCGTGTTGAGGTGCAGACAGATAACTTTTATCAAGATCACCGACAGGCGCCGAACTCGGTGCTGCGAATGTTCTGAACTCTCGCTAACGACGAGCGCTCCAGCAAACGGTAGTTTACAGGCACCGACCCGTGGATAACTGCACGGGAAACAGAACTACAAGCCGGGAGTCGTGCAAACTGCCTGGAAGTCAGTAGTTACTTACTTCCGAAGTCTCTTGCGTCTTGGAGCCTGGACGGATGCTGAAGGAACCTATTTCTAGTGTTGGCAATAACTCTCGACCAGAACTAACTGACTGTGTCACCACAGCGTGTGTTACCATGGTTACTCAGCGGCACGTACATCTACGGAGGTCTTTGTCCTTGGTAGTTTGCGTGCGTGCGTACCTCAACCTAGGTCCGTGCATTCTTCTGTACGGCTCTAGCACTGCACCCTGCACTGCAGTGCAGTGCAGGCTAGTACAAGCGGTGGACCTACAGTGACGTTTGCGGTCACGTTTCTTGTCCTTCACACAACGCGCCGGTACGGTGGGGCAGAGAACAGCCTTCGGGGGTTCGCATTGCATCCACAAGGCACTGCAACTATGTACACCCATGCCATGGTACACATTATGTGCACATGCGCACTACGTAGTAGATCTACTACGCGACGGGCAGCGCTGCGTTACCAGGTTACATAGACTGTCCCTCCAGGAAATCGCGATTCCACGGACGCAGCAAATTTCGCGATTTTGGCCCAAACCCGCGATTTTCTGAAAAACCCGCGATTTTCCGGGTTTTGTTGTTTTCTGCACTTCTTTTGACATTTTTCTGCACTTTTCACGCAGTATACAGTGCTTTCCATGATCCTGCTCGTAGGTTATTTCCACAGTACGCAAATAGCGATTCTAAGGATACAACAAATTTCGTGATTTGACCCAAATCCACAATTTTCTGCCAATAATTCCGCGAGTTCCTTGGCAAGTTCCGCACTTTTCGGCGCATTTTTTGTTGTTTTCTGCCGCAATTTCTTGCGCAAGTTTTCGAGGATTTTTTCCGCAAATTCCCGCAGGGACAGCATAGACTGAGCTAGCTACACAAACT